TTTCCTTTTGATTTATGCGTGATGACTCTTCTTCCAATGCAATTTGAACACAGTCCGATAATTTATTCGGTCTACTAGCTTTTACTAAGATTTTTGTATCATGCGGTAATCCTTCTGTGTATGCTGATAGAACTTGCCTTTCTGTTATCTTGGATAAATCTTCCATACAAGAAATTTCTTTTGTTGCCATGGATGCTTCTATGATATTGTAGTATACGTAATTTATTGTTCTGCTCTATCGCTATATTGTTGAATAGACTCTTCCGAAGTTATTTTAAATGTTGATAATTTCGAATGTAAATGCGTTAAAATTTTTTTTTTATTAACAGTGAGATCCAAGGTTTCCTTAAGTTCTTTGTAAGTAGTGGGTTTCTTATGTCTGAACGGACGTATGACCTTGCTTATTAATCGAGTTTTTATGCCCCTGAATAGATTTTCTTTCTCCGACGGGTCAATACTTTATAATTTATATTCACATGCATTATGAAATGCAAAACTATTATCTGCGTTCTCCCCATTGAACAAAGGGATCAAGTTTAGAGCTTAGTGTGTGATCATAAACTTTGACATTATTGTTTCTTTTACTGCTTGATTTTGCTTACGAGTTAATTTAAGTAAGTTTTTTGCGTCTTCGAGGATCGAGTCAGTGTTACTTATAGAATGGATTTCCCTGTCTAAAATATGTTCCGAATGCGATATATTGTTGAACTTACTATCATCTGAGTCAAATTCGTCTGAGGGTTCATACAGTTCTCCATTAGAAGGAATACTAACCCTACTTTCAAGATCTATAAGATTTCCAGAATTGGTGGTTACACTTTGATCAGTATCTGACATAGACTACGATTGATTTAAAATAATTAGCCCGAGTAAATAACCATACAATATAGAATAGATAAATTAATTTTCTTAATTACTCTTCCGATTCCGTGCCAACAATATGAGTAAAAGCAAATAAAATAAAAAAAATTATACAGCAAAATTATAGCATTAATAATATTAAATTATAATGATACAAAAGTATTTACGATTGCGTTTACTGTACCTGGCAGTGACGTCTTCTGCGGCGGCGGTGACGTCTTCTGCGACGGCGGTGTTGCCGTTGTTGGTGCTGACGTTTTTTTTTGAAAATCTCGATACTCTGCAAATTAATCTTTTGATTCTGAGATGCTTTGGAGTTCCTTGTCGTAGTTTCTTGATGATCTGATGACTTCTGGTCTTCTACCCGTAAGGAAAGGCGATAGTACACGTAGGTTCTTCAATGAATTCTTTAACAATGGAATTGTTGACTCCCACTGCCACCAAATGATGTGTACCTGCGCGTTAATTACGTGGGTAAAAGGAATTCAGGACGTTGCGAAAGAATTAAACGGATAAAATAATAGAATAGAATTACGATTTACTATAAACTTAAAAAGATACTTAATTTAATACATAGAATTTCTGCTTAAACAAATGAGGTTCTGCTTGAGTGCGTCTTGCATAACGACTACTGGGGCGGTCGTGACCAGGTGACTTACCTTTGCAACGGTCAGGGTAGGAATTGTAGAATTGGCAAATTCCTGGTGGCGCTCCCGGTCCCATAGTCACGTACGCCACTATACATATGTTACGTACCGTGTTATTTTATACATATATATTATACGGAGAGGTGACGCGTATACCGATGGGATAATATATTCAAACAGTGTAGTATCGAACGGCTATGGCGAACACCTGCACATCGTGATATTTAATATAATGAATAAGACATGATCACACGTCCTGGACTTCTCAGAAATGATGAGTAAACGATAGTGTTAACATTGTATTATTTAATATGACAATTAAGACTTGATCACACGTCTTGGATTTCTTAGAACCGATGAAATCGCAGGAAAGGCACCCAACTGAATAATACATTTAATTTAGAGAGCTCCTTTAGGTCATCGGAAGTTGCCACCTCCCCAGTCACCCACTCTTGACGGTTAACCATATATAAGGGAGACCGGGGCAAGAGCTGAGCAGACGGTTAGGGATATTCGAGACGCTCAGAGGCAGGTCGTAACACCACTCACGGTCTCGTCTATCAGTATTTCAGAGGCAGGTCGTAACACCACACACACCATCTTGTGCTTATAAAATTGTATTCTTGTACGAGTTAATTGTATTAAATAAAGACTTAATCTTTTAACTTGCAAACATTAGTATTTCTATTTCTACGTTGATATATGAATCGACGTTGACATAAGGGACGCAACATTACTAAATATTTTTCTGTAATTACATTGATAACGCTTAAAAATTTTTATGCAAATTAAAAAAAAAATGTTGGAGTATTTACATTAAAATGTACTGAAAAGTAATGTTTAAAGAGTTCGGTTATAAAATATTACACATAAGTCACTATTATATAGTGTATAAACATATCACATAATATTGGCATAAAATGTGGTTAACGTGACATATAACTTACCAGTGTTATATATCTTTTGTATTATAAAAAGTTATTGTATTTGATAATGTGTTGAAATAAAAAGAATAATTAATAAGCGTGCCAAAGTGTATTTTTAATAATATGAATTTTTCTACAAATACAGTCTTATGAAGTTATAAATTCTAAATTAATAGTTAATATTGTCATTAACAGTCTTTATGCGAAAAGTCTGCACACGAGCCGAAAGATGTATTTCCTTGTATATCGTTGTGTGTGTGCGGGGGGGGGGGGGGGGGGGGGGATATGGTTTGTATAATTTACGACTAAATTAGTTAGTTAATTGTAAAATGAAAGGTGATGAGTGCCAGGTTGCTCTAACAACAATATGAAAAATTTTACTAATGAATAACGTTTAATGCGTGTCGAGACATAAAGAACAATTGAATGTACAAATGATAAGTAGATAAACAAAACAAAAAAATACAAACTTAACATCCAACAGAAATAATAAAATGACAATATTACTACTAATAATAATGATATAATAATGATAATATAAATAAAAAGGTGCGCGTACTACCTGATTTGTTGATGATGGATCGCAATGGTGGAGACTTGATGTTGGTGGTGGTGACGGTTTTAATGACCGAAAAGAACAACAATAAAAAAAAAAAAAAAAATGACGGTATTGCCGACGAACGTGGCACCGGTAGTACACACTGATACCATAGATTAAGTAAAACTTAATCTGTGCTGGTACAGTATTCGGAAATGTGACTGTGACGACTACCGCCGGGGAGCGACGGCGGATCGCTTAGCCGCGTGATATCGTCCCCTATACAAGGGACACCAAGGTCAAAAACGCGCGTCGTATCAGGGACGCGCTACAGCACAACTTTGCCGTATGGAGTGTTGTGGCAACACCGAGACAAGTGAAAAGAAATTGGTTTTGTATCCAACAGCCTTGTTATTTAAGTCTTAATTGTTTCATCATAAATTATACATAAATATCTATTTTAAATCTAAACAAACAAGAACTTAATGAAAATATATTCTAAAAACAAGTAACAATGGTAAACATAAAATATATATTTTTTTTTACTACCAATTAAAATACTATAATTTGAGTTATGACATATTCATTTTTTTTTAAATATAACATTCAATTAAATAAATTATAGTTGTATACTTAAATTACTTTTACGGTTTACTTTTTTTGGTCATAGTATAGGATATATTTGTTTTTTCATAAAACATACACTTATAAATTACGATTAATGGTTAAATTTAATATTAATTTATATTAAAATGTGTGTACTAAGTGAATGGTAAAAATTTTACAAAAAGCGCAATACCAACTATCTATAAAATATGTAAAAAAGTACAATGTCACCAATTTAGATTTTAAATTATATATTATACGGTTATAAGTAATTTTATTAAAATTTTGTAGAAACTTGTAATGATCCAGTTTTTTATTAAGCTTGTACAAAGATAATGCCAATATTCTGGTGGTCACTTGAATATGTATATAAAACAAACAAAAATGGAGATTTATATACATAAACAGTCAACAGAATTAAACTATTATGTTATTACTTTATTAGAGTTAAACTGAATAATATTTGTATATTGTTATGTGGAAACTGACCATAAGGAATATCTTTAGTTGCGCATTATTATTTATTTTTAATGATCAAAAAAATAAACACTAAATATTCATTATGAATTGAAGCATTATAAAAAAAAACTCTTTTACTATACCTTAGATAATTTATTTTAATTATCAACTCTATATCATTATTGAATAATTATCAGGAGCATCAAAGATAAACCAGATCACTGAACACTTTCATTTGGATGAAACTGTAGGAATTCTAAATGACAGTTTAAAGGTTTTTCAATAATAAAACACTTTACACATATAATAATTAGTGATGGGAAAAATCCGGTTTTGCTGAAGTTCGAAAATCCGGATGTTTGAATTTCGAAATCCGAAATCCGGATTTTGGATTTTAGAATCCGAAATTCGGATTTTGGATTTGAAAACATTGAATTAGAATTCTTTTAAGAATTACTTATACTAAATACGAAATAATTACACATTCTTAAAATAAAATTATATTTTGAACATGTTATTTATAGATTTTAGTACTCAAATACTAATTGTATTGTAACTAGAACTTTATTTAAAGCAACGAACAAAATTAAAAAATATATATCAAACCTGTAACAATGTATACATTCAAGGCTTTTAACTAAATTTATAAGTTACAGTATAAGTATTAAATTCTATCACAATTTACAAGTATCAGAATAATTACTTATAAAGAAACAAAAAATAATAGTTTAGTATAGTAAATATAAATAATAATTGGTAAACAATACAAAATAAGTAATAAATAACAATTACATTATGAGTTGCTATAAAAATATTTTTAAATAAATAAATAAATACAAATATATAAATTAATAAATAAATAGATCAAAGAAAATTTTTTAATAAAAACACCTCTTTGATTATAGTAAAATAATTATAATTTTAATTGGTATCAACAATTATATATTATTCTTAGAATTCTTATTATAGGTTGTTTTTCAAAAATACTAATGCTGACAAGTGGTGAGGCGTCATTTTGTTTCGCTTGGGTGTTATAATATTACCGGCTCTAGAAAATACGCGTTCAGACGATGCTGACGATGCAGGAATGCATAATATTTTTTTTGCTAAAACTGATATAGTCGGATAGACATTTTCACGAGCTTTCCACCACAAACATGGATTCTCATTATGATTAATTTGTGGTTCTGACAAATATCGAGTAAATTCATCTTCATCGTCATCACAAAATTGCCCCATTAGCTCATCTAATACAGTCTTTTTTGCTATTTGATTACAATTGTCTACATTTGTCAAAAAGTTATTAACAGATAAAATTTTTGAACGAATCATCGATTGTATACGGTATTTAATTTGCTCAGAGGACTCGAATTTTAAGTTTTTGTACCTGGGATCAAGCAGACTTGCCATTTGCGCTATAAGCACCGGTAAATTATCAGTACTTTCCTCATCATTCGGATCTTCCATTGAAAATCGTTTCACCAATTCTTTGGAAACTGTGCTTTTGAATGTTGTAGCAAACATACAGTCTGTTTGATTTGAATTCAAGTGTTTACTTATGAGACTAGCAACAAGTGGCCGAACCTAAAATACAATTAACAAGTTTTATAGTATTTTACAATTAGAATGTAATAAACAATAATTATTACCTATTAAGTTTATATTTATGATAAATATTTACCATTGATATTGTGATTTGTTGTTCAGAACATAATACTGTCGTGGTTAGTTGCAGTGGTTTCAATAACTTCACAAGAACTTCACATCGACTCCAATCTTCTTCAATCATTTCTAAATTTTTTGCTGTTTTTGTGTTGAAGTATTCTCTGTCTGATATAACAGCTACAACAGCTCTGCGCAATAGAAGCAAGCGATCTAACATTGCTAGGGACGAATTCCACCTAGTGGGACAACTTTGCAATAGAGTTAATGATTTTTGATTCGTCTGTTGTAGATACAATTGTAGTGCATTGGATCGCTTAGGTGATTGTCTAAAAGCACTGACGATTGATGATGCTTTTTTTAACAAACTACTACAAACGTTATCATCGAATCCTTTCTTTATTGCTAGCTGAATTGTGTGTGCTGCGCATCTATTTGAATAAATCTGTAATTGCTCTTCTAAATTTCTTACTGCCCTTGTAATATTTGATGCATTATCATGAGTGATACCAGTGACCTTATTGGATATATCCCACCTGTCCATAAGCTCTGTAATATCATCTTTTAGTTTGTCAGCTGTATGTGATTCTGTTATTTCATCAATGGACAATGTAACATTACACAACGTCCAATCTTTATCAAAATAGTGACCAGTGTATGTAATATACGAATCTATTGCTAACGAACTCCAGCCATCTGTTGTTAGAGCAATACTGATAATACTTTCAAGATTTTTTTTTGTTTTATTTAATTTTAATTCATACAATGTTTCTATTCGAGTAGTTATTGTTTTTCGACATGGTATCTTATAATTCGGCTCAAACAAGTTTATGAGATTTTTTAATCCTTCGTTTTCGACAAAAGAAAAAGGTAATAAACCACTCGTAATAATTTCACAAATTCTTTGTGTTATCTGTTCTATTCGTTCTCGGTTTAATGGTCTATCACTTTTTGGTTTTGCCTTGAATGTTCGTTTTAAACGTTTGTGTGGCAGAATATTTTGTGATAATTCTGTGGACGCCAGGGCAGTATTACTACTATTACTTTGATCGGTAGATGTTGATGCTATATCAGTTGAACATATCGACTCATTATCACTTTTTACTATATCATTGTGAGACCTAAAAAAAATATAAATCAAATTAGTATGATAAGAATTATTGAGAATTCAAATTGCCTAGTTTTTTAAATTGTTATTTTTGTTATGTTTGTGTTTGAACTTTTCTGTTACTTAAAGATAATTTTATAACTATTCATTTTTAACAGAAAAACTTTAGAATCTGAGTGAAAAGAGAAATGTATCGGTATTTGATTTAAAATGATTTGTTTGTGTTTCTTTTATAGTATTTTTTTTGTTTTTGTCTCCGTGTAAAATGAATTATAAAATAAATTTATATTAGAAGGAAAGAAAAAAAATTTAATTGTTTTCTATGGTTCGAACCTGATACCCCCAACTATCACACATAACTGAAGCAACTAAGCAACCCACAACTAATGGCTTTTAAAGCGCTTTTGTACTCTTAACCTCAACACGCTGGCTGTATGTAAACTGCGACAAAATTTACCTTTTTCTAAAAGTCGATATGTAAACTGCGGCAAAAATTAAGATTATACAAACTGCGACAAAACCGATAAGATACATCATACAAACTGCGGCAATTTATTTTATATACTTTCTATATATACTACATGTATATACATATCGTTACGATAATCTATATAAGTACACGTTTATCGTTTAATTAGGTGTAATACCTATTACGTGTTGTGATAGCTATTAGTATCTCTTAGAGTATTAGGCTTAAATATAAAGAAACCAATTTTAAAATATTGAAAAGTATGATATTATTAAAAATTAGATCGTAATTATCGTATAATCAAAACAAATTTTAAAATTAAAAATATTATTATTATTAAAATTATTTTAAAAATCGTATAATCAAAAACAATATAAAATAATACGTATTACTTGTTATGACATCTATTGGTATCTCTTATTAGTTTTTTTAAAAAGTCGTATAATCAAAAATAAATAAATATAATAATACAATAGGTATTTTTACAAAAGTTAATTACAATTTGTCGTTTATTCTTAAAATACTTTTTCAAAATTCATATCTTGAAATTGTCCATCTTCTTTCATTTGTCGCTGTATATCAATAAATTTGTATTTTGCGTTGTCGCTTTTTACTAATTAATTGTACTAACTAGGGTTATCAAAGTAAAGGAATCGATAATACGATATGTTTCGTTAAACTAAAAATACATTTGATTTACCAATTTTACCAAGACGAAACTTCACATAATTAATTTAACGATATACATACATAGGTATATATAGTATATATAGAAAGTATATAAATAAATTGCAGTTTGTATGATGTATCTTATCGGTTTGTCGCAGTTTGTATAATCTTAATTTTTGCATTTACATATCATTTTAAACTTAGATTCCATCTCCCAACACGCTATAATAATTCATTCTTATTTAATTAAAATAAATTTAATAAAATTATCTGTAACTATTATTTCAATGGTAATATCATTCGATTATTTTAATCATTTAATTTCATTACTCCCTCCCTATAGTTAATCGTACTTATACGTAATGAGAAATTTTAAAATTTTAAATGAATAAAATATAATTTAATTACCTTTTGCCGTCCATTGGTGTATTATTTTCATTTTGTGACGCATTAAATGTGTCCATAAAGATGATGTAGATCCATTGTTCATCAACCATCAAATTAAACACTTCGCCGATTCATTAGATTTATTACGTTTAAAATACGCCATATTTTACTCGAGCCATGATTAAAATTAGAACTAGAAATAGTTGTTGTTTGTGCTTATAGTGGTGCTTATCAGTACTGTGCAGTGAACGCGTAGGTATCTTGTTACAACACATATTGTTCACAATGTTATCGCAAAAGATAGAGTTTAAACTTAAGCATACTATAAAGTCTACAAACTTTATTTATCAATACAAGTGTGTTTTTCTTTTGTACGATATTATAAATAGATATAGGAAAATAATATATAATATATACAAAATGTTGATATCAGGTGTTTTAATAATAATACAACTGTCAAACCCAATTAAATTTCATGCACACGTTTTGTGTAATATTAAATATATAGGTCAGATATAAATACATATCATACATTTTAGTTAGGTATTATTAGTCGTATCGCCAAAATAATGGTATACGTGAGACTTGAAATAGCAGTAAACCT